TTCATAAGGTAGTATTCATATAACATTTCCATAAGGGAGTATTCATATAAAATTTTCATGAGGGAGTATTCATATAAAATTTCATAAGGGAGTGAAAATTATGAAAATTTTATATGAATATATAAAATGTTCATAAGGGAGTATTGATATAAAATGTTCATAAGGGAGTATTGATATAAATTTCCATAAGGGAGTATTCATATAAAATTTCCATAAAGGAGTATTCATATAAAGTATAAATTTTATTGTAACCTAATTATGTACAGTATGGGATCATATGCAATATAGGTGAACAATTCAATTAAAAGAATTGAAAATAAATACAATGTATCTAGATACAAATAAGAGACATGTCATAATAGATCGTTTCATCTTGAATAAATCAACAATGTTTTGTAGCAATTTTTAAGATTAAGTTGAGATTTTTCTGGTTAAAAATTTGAATAATTTTAGCAGATTCTGGATAAAAAATACAGCGAATTTTATATCGTGTTTTTTCGAGACAAAACAAATCCACGGATTTCAACCCAGAATCACGTAAAAACCCGCGGAAATTTTTCATCCTTTAATAGTCAGTTGTATTCAGTTTAATTTCTAACGTATGTTGGGAGAAAAAAAAATTGATAGTGAGGGTCACAAAGCACTGACCGGGAACCCCAAACAGGCTTTGTACATAATTTTATACTTTCAAAGTAAGCGTATATATTTTAGAGATTTTGTTTGTAGATAAAATATTTTTTGCAATTTTTAAAAAAGTATTGCTGATAATTTTATAATAAAAATATACTATTAATTTAACTTTTGTTTGTCTATAACTGGGATCCTATTAGGTGTTACCATCCCGGGTCAGTGTGGACGTGGGTACAACAACACTTAAGACGGAATATACAGTGTAATTTACATGTCATTTTTAAAAAAAATATATATGAGTTTTCCTTTTCATAGACTGGCTGCCAGCCAAGGTTAATGTTATGGTAAATTACCCATACACGGATGAACTCTTCCAAGTTACAAATAAAAGCATGTACTGTGTTTGTCAGAGAGTTTGTTTCTCAACAGTCCACTCTGACATACGTATTCCTTTGCATATTATTGTATTCCCGATTTTCGTTAATATATTTGTTAAATCAAATCCACTCTTGTGTCTTTATTCTGGCCCCCCAACAAGGTCGCAACAGTTAGAGATCCCAGGAACAAGTTTCACAGAGAGAAAGTGGAAGTATTGCTGACGATATTCAGTCACCCCCACCCCCACGAGGGTGTCATATGGCACAAGGCCTTTTTAACGTGGGCATTCCCGAGCCATTAGGCTCGGCCAAAAAATAGCCCATTTGAACCCGTATAAACGGGTTCAGGGCCGGTATTACCTCCCCGAAGGAGACTCCGCCCTTCGGCGTAGCCTCCTTCGGCGTAGCCTCCTTCGGGTTCCTCTCCGTCCGTAGGAAGAGAGTACAACCGAACAGTCGCTCAGAAGGTACTGGGTCGACTGACGTATTACTGACAGCAACAAGCTATAGGATTCTATGAGGAACAAAGACCCTTCACGTCATCAAGGGACACAATCTGGGGAGAGAGAGAACGAGAGAGGGAGAGAGAGTGTGTGTATATGTGTGTGTCTGCGTGTGTATGTGTGAACGAAAAACGCACACTAAGGGGCCAACACTTCATATTCTAATTTAGTTAAATAAATAGTCCTAATTTTTTTCTCTATAGAACACATATATTACTGATTTAAAAATCTGGGAAGGGTCCTAACGGGAAAGTGCAACACTGAGATCCGAAGACGTATTGAGAAGGCCAAAACATGCCTTCCAAAAGCTAAGCAGAGTATTGCAAGACAGGAAAGTTTCGTTGAAAATAAAGAAAAGAGTTCTGAACTGTTACGTGATATATGTCCTCCTGTATGGCAACGCATGCTAGACAATCTCCTCAAAGATGAAACTCAAAAGCAACAGACATGGTTCTACAGAAGGATGCTGAGGATACCATGGGCCGAACATCTGAGCAACAACAAGGTTTGAGAGAGAATGGAAACAAAGATACTTATACTTTAATTTCCGAGACACGAAAGAAGGAGGGATTGGAAAATCTGATACTCACAGGTCGGATAGAGTGAAAGAGGCACGAGGGAAAGCAACGTGTGACATACTTAACGGGCTTGAGTAAGTGGATGGCAGAACAGGGTCTGGGAGAAATAATAAAAAGGCAAAACTTATTAAGAGCTACAAGGGATAGGAAGATGTGGAGGTCCATGATCACCTACGTCCTAAAGAGACATGATACATAAAAGAAAGATATTACTGATCAGTAGACCAAGCATAAATATATGAGTCTATCACAGAGCTTAAAAAATTGAAAAGTCACAGAATTTAAAGATAAAAGCTAAGCTAATCAAAGTAATAAGAAAACAAACAAAAATCATTGAAAAAAAGAAAAGAGTACGGAACTGTTGCGTTCTGTGTCATCTCTGGGTCGCTACGCTACTACATAAAATGGTATCAACGAAAAGGACGATTTCTTTTTTTTTTATTCGTTTTATGAGGAGAGAGTGGTGGCCTCTTGGATTCTAAGAGGCAGCAGAAGGAATGTCGTCCCGGGAACGCACGTTGCACGTTGGCTTAGCGTCTCTCCGCGGGTGGTTTTAGCCAATGGTCTAACATGGGTGTGGGAAGCATATTGACACTTCAGAATTTTTGAGGCCCTCTGTTGAATTCGCACTTTTTGAGGGGCGAGGAGACTTATATCTAAAACCTAGACAAAGACAAGAATACTACGTCCACGAGGCACTTCGACCAATCGTTGATTATTTTGCCTCTGGCCTTCGCATTCTATAACTACTGTTATGTAATATCAATCCTATATGGCAGTGAATGAAGGACACATTTTTAACAGAGAAAGAGAATACTTGAAGTAACAGATGAGCTTTCTGAATCTATTATTATTATTATTATCGAAATTAGCGTGTCAATCTATGCAAGTACCGACTGCAGAAGCGACCACCTTGCAAAGAAACAGAGAAAAGATTGCTGAATTACTATGTAATATCAATCCTACTATATGTCATTGTACACTGGGAAATCTCCTTTTTTATGTCCTGTGTCCCTTCAGGACGATGACGATTATAGTTGCCTTGGCACATCTTAGCAATGTTTTCCCACTAACTACCCTTACCATTAGACACAACTCACTGTTCTGCCATCCAATTGCATAATCTTGTTAGATAGGTTACACGATGATTTTCTCTGTTCTTTTGACTTTCGATATGTCATGTGAGTATCAGATTCTCCAAGAGGCTATTTTCTCTAAATGTGTTGTAGAAATTTAAACTCTCTCGTTCTAACTTTATGTATAATAATTTTTCTTGTGTCAATTCTCTGTAAATCTTTCTCATTACTCACATGTTTTGTTCGTGGTATTCTCAGTATTCTGCTGTATAGTCATCACGATTACATCAACTTCACTTTTCATCTGTCGGTAAACTGTCCAGCATTCACTGCCATGTAGGAGGATTGATATTACATAGAAGTTCATCATTCTTTTCTTTGTTTCTAACGAAATCTTCCTGTTTCTTAATACTTTGTTTAGCTTTTGGAAGGCATGAGGAGATTGTCCAGCATTCACTGCCATATAGGAGGATTAATATTACATAGAAGTTCATCACTCTTTTCTTTGTTTCTAACGAAATCTTCCTGTTTCTTAATACTTTGTTTAGCTTTTTTGGAAGACATGATGAGATTGTCCAGCATTCACTGCCATATAGGAGGATTAATATTACATAGAAGTTCATCACTCTTTTCTTTGTTTCTAACGAAATCTTCCTGTTTCTTAATACTTTGTTTAGCTTTTGGAAGACATGATGAGATTATCCAGCATTCACTGCCATATAGGAGGATTAATATTACATAGAAGTTCATCACTCTTTTCTTTGTTTCTAACGAAATCTTCCTGTTTCTTAATACTTTGTTTAGCTTTTGGAAGGCATGAGGAGATTGTCCAGCATTCACTGCCATATAGGAGGATTGATATTACATAGAAGATCGTCACTCTTTTCTTTGTTTCTAACGAAATCTTCCTGTTTCTTAATACTTTGTTTAGCTTTTGGAAGGCATGAGGAGATTGTCCAGCATTCACTGCCATATAGGAGGATTGATATTACATAGAAGATCGTCACTCTTTTCTTTGTTTCTAACGAAATCTTCCTGTTTCTTAATACTTTGTTTAGCTTTTGCAAAGCATCTTTCGCTATACCGTGCGCCGATGTCGGTGATACGTTTTCCGTTTTATACTATTGGTTCTTTTCTCTATATTTATTGTACGTGTCGTAAAACCCGTTGAAATTCAGCAAACTCTCAATGTAATCTTTCGTATCTTGAGACATTTTTATCTTAATTTTAACACCTTCCTTATGCAACTCTATGCAGAGTCATTGTTTATGGTCTATATTCGATCAGTTATATTCCAATAGAAGCTAGTTAAGTTGTTAAATATATTTATTGATAGGATCTGTCACAAGAAGTTCTTATATTCTAATTAGGGTGGAGTCAAGATAAACAGAAAAAGTCCAAGACCTTTAAGAAAATATAGACGGTAATGTTAAGGTGGAGGGAGTCTTGGTATCCCTTGAATGCGTGTCAAGGAATCCGGTCGACCGGAAGGAAGAAATAAATGGAGAGAGGAAAGTAAGCAAGGAAGGAGGAAGAAAAGAAGGAGGGTGGAATGTAAGCCAGGAAGGAAGGAAGAAAGGGTGCAAAATAAAAAAAAGAGTTTACTCGTGTGAAAAGTAGTAAAAAGAAAAGAAAGAATATAAAAATGACTGAAAGTGCGAATGGGACAAGAAAAAGAAAAAGAAAAAGAAAGAGAAAAGAAAGAATCGAGAAAAGAGTAGAAGAGGAAAAGAGAAAGAAAATGAAGCCAGAACAGAAATAAAGAAGAAGAAGAAGAAGAAGAAGAAGAAGAAGAAAGAATGAAAGTGGGGAAGTGAAGCAGAAAAATTGAAAATATCAGAAAATTAAAGAGAAAATGAAAGAAAAGAAAGAAAGTGATCGAAATGAATAAAGGTCAAAGAAAGAAAGAAAGAAAGAAAGAAAGAAAGAAAGAAAAAAAAAGAAACTAAGAACGAAAAAATGCAAAAGTGTCTATAAAAGAAAGAAAGAAAGAAAGGAAGATAGCAACAGAAAGTGAGTGAGAAAGAAAAGAAGAGATTAAGCAACAAAAGCCAAAGAAAGAAAGAAAGAAAGTGAGAATTAAGAAGATAAAAGTAAGAATGAAAGAAATAAAAAAGAAAGTAAGATAGAAAAGTGACAGAAAATGAAAGAAAGAAAGAAAAAAGGAAAGAAAGAAAGAAAAAAGGAAAGAAAGAAACTGTGAATTAAAAACAAAAACAAATAAGAAAGAATGAACGAAAGATAGAAAATGTAAATGACTGAAAAAAAGAAACAAAAAAACTGAGAATTAGAAGAGACAAAATAGACTAAGAAAGAAAGAATGAAAGAAAGAACTAAGAAAGAAAGAGCGAAAAAAGAAATAAAGGGCGAAGAAAGAAAGAAAGAAAGAAAGAAAGAAAGAAAGAGAAAGAAAGAAAGAAAAAAGAAAGGTCGAACAAATAAAGAAACGGAATTAAAAGAGACAAAAGAAAGAAAGAAAGAAGGAAAGAAAGAAAGAGAGAAACTGAGAATTAGACAAAAGAGACTAAGAAAGAAGGAATGAAAGAAAGAACGAAGAAAGAAAGAGCGGAGAAAGAAAGAAAGAAAGAAAGAAAGAAAGAAAGAAAGAAAGAAAGAGCGAAGAAAGGGCGAAGAAAGGACGAAGAAAGAAAGAAAGAAAGAAAGAAAGCGCGAAGAAAGGGCGAAGAAAGGACAAAGAAAGAAAGAAAGAAAGAAAGAAAGAAAGGTCAAAGAAAGGTCGAAGAAAGTTCAAAGAAAGAAAGAAAGAAAGAAAGATAGGTCGAACAAATAAAGAAGCTGGGAATTAAAAGAGACAAAAGAAAGAAAGAAAGAAAGAAGAAAGAAAGAAAGAAAGAAAGAAAGAAACTGAGAATTAGAAGAGACAAATGAGACTAAGAAAGAAAGAATGAAAGAAAGAACGAAGAAAGAAAGAGCGAAAAAAGAAAGAAAGAAAGCGCGAAGAAAGAAAGAAAGAAAGAAAGAAAGAAAGAAAGAAAGAAAGAAAGAAAGAAAAGAAAACCGGAGAAAGAAAGAAAGAAAGAAAGGTCAAAGAAAGGTCGAAGAAAGAAAGAAAGAAAGAAAGAAAGAAAGAAAGAAAAAAAGAAAGAAAGAAAGAAAGAAAGAAAGGTCGAACAAATAAAGAAGCTGGGAATTAAAAGAGACAAAAGAAAGAAAGAAAGCGCGAAAGAAAGAAAGAAAGAAAGAAAGAAAGAAAGAAAGAAAGAAAGAAAGAAAGGTCAAAGAAAGTTCGAAGAAAGAAAGAAAGAAAGAAAGAAAGAAAGAAAGGTCGAACAAATAAAGAAGCTGGGAATTAAAAGAGACAAAAGAAAGCGCGAAAGAAAGAAAGAAAGCGCGAAAGAAAGAAAGAAAGCGCGAAGAAAGGACGATGAAAGAAAGAAAGAAGGAAAGAAAGAAAGAAAGGTCAAAGAAAGGTCGAAGAAAGTTCGAAGAAAGAAAGAAAGAAAGAAAGAAAGAAAGAAAGAAAGATAGGTCGAACAAATAAAGAAGCTGGGAATTAAAAGAGACAAAAGAAAGAAAGAAAGAAAGAAAGAAAGAAAGAAAGAAAGAAAGAAACTGAGAATTAGAAGAGACAAATGAGACTAAGAAAGAAAGAATGAAAGAAAGAACGAAGAAAGAAAGAGCGAAAAAAAAGAAAGAAAGAAAAGCGAAGAAAGAAAGAAAGAAAGAAAGAAAGAAAGAAAGAAAGAAAGAAAGAAAGAAAAGAAAACCGGAGAAAGAAAGAAAGAAAGAAAGAAAGAAAGAAAGAAAGAAAGAAAGGTCAAAGAATGGTCGAAGAAAGAAAGAAAGAAAGAAAGAAAGAAAGAAAGAAAGAAAGAAAGAAAGGTCGAACAAATAAAGAAGCTGGGAATTAAAAGAGACAAAAGAAAGAAAGAAAGAAAGAAAGAAAGAAAGAAAGAAAGAAAAGAAAAGAAAACCGGAGAAAGAAAGAAAGAAAGAAAGAAAGAAAGAAAGAAAGAAAGAAAGAAAGGTCAAAGAAAGGTCGAAGAAAGTTCGAAGAAAGAAAGAAAGAAAGAAAGAAAGAAAGAAAGGTCGAACAAATAAAGAAGCTGGGAATTAAAAGAGAAGAAAGAAAGAAAGAAAGAAAGAAAAAGAAAGAAAGAAAGAAAGAAAGAAACTGAGAATTAGAAGAGACAAATGAGACTAAGAAAGAATGAATGAAAGAAAGAACGAAGAAAGAAAAAGCGAAAAAAGAAAGAAAGAAAGAAAGCGCGAAGAAAGGACGAAGAAAGAAAGAAAGAAAGGTCAAAGAAAGGTCAAAGAAAGGTCGAAGAAAGAAAGAAAGAAAGAAAGAAAGAAAGAAATGTCGAACAAATAAAGAAACTTAGAATTAAAAGAGACAAAAGAAAGAAAGAAAGAAAATAAAAATTAAAATGAGGTTAAAAATGTGGGAAATGCTAGCAAGGAAGGGAAGATTAACGAAAGAAGAAAGAAAAGGAAGTTCCTTTGGGAAGAAAGAGTCGCAATTAGAGAGAGAAGGTAAGGCAGAAAATATAAAGGAAAGTGAGACAGAAAAGAAACGACAGAAAGAAAGGAAGAACAACCGCCAAGACTTGCACCATCAACATTTCTCACAGAACTACGAAATTCACCTTTTGCTCCTGGAACTACCATTCCTAAAGATTATTGTAAATAAATATATTCAAAGAAATGTGCTTGACATACGGTGGAACTGAAAAGAGAATTTCAGCTCAACTTCCTGTTAACAAAAAGCAGACCACATTAAAAAGCGAACGAAATTCAAATTCATCATTTTTGTCAGAATCTTTCAGATGGGGAATTACCAATATTATAGGCCACCTTCTTCGGATCATCATGGTCATCTCGGATGTTTCGGCCATTGTACCCACCGGTCTTCTTCAGGTGCCTATCATACGAGTACAACAGACAACTGGTTTATATTTATTCTTGTTTAAAAAGTAGATAACAGATCACTGTGTCAGTATAAAAATAACGAGAAATTTATACATCTCCAAGACGATCTGAGTTCTAGATTATAGAAAACATACACGCACACACAAACAAAAAAAACAAACAAAAAAACATCATATCAGATGCCAGGATGTATGATATTAAAAGGCTGCAATGTCATAAAATCTATATAGGCGAAACCTCTCGAATGTTCCAGCCGGTAAACGAAATAAAACACACACACACAACAACAACAACAACAAAAACAAAAAACACCACATCAGATGCTAGGGTGTATGATATTAAATGCCTGCAATGTCATAAAACCTATATAGGCGAAACCTCTCAAATGTTCAAGCCGGTAGACGAAATAAAACACACACACACAAAACCTAAAGAAACACCACATCAGATACCATGGTGTATGATATTAAATGCCTGCAATGTTATAAAACCTATATAGGCGAAACCTCTCAAATGTTCAAGCAGGTAGACGAAATAAAACACACACACACAAAACCCAAAGAAACACCACATCAGATACCAGGGTGTATGATATTAAATGCCTGCAATGTTATAAAACCTATATAGGCGAAACCTCTCGAATGTTCGAGCCGGTAGACGAAATGAAATATTGTTTAAAATAAATGGAACGTTACTCTAATATGGGTATCCATTAAAAGTAACGTTTAAATTTTTAAAAATATGTTGGATAAACAAATAAAACTCTATTAGAAATTGCTTTGTCTATGTTATATACTGTACCTATGAACACTTATGGGCATGTTCCAATCCCTCAAAAATACTTTGGGCACTATTGTAAGCGGCGAGTAATATGCTGTCTACGGTGGCATATTTCCCCACATTAAATTTGATCTTATCCCGCATCCTACCTCATCTGGGGGCAGAGGTAAATATCGTAATATGCTATCTAAGCTGTCAGCGTGAGCTGTCAGCGTGGGAAGCTCTTGCCGTGTCGAACTTTCTGTCTTCGGACAGAGAGGAACCCGGACGTGGCTATGCCGAAGGGCAAAGTCTCGTCCGGGGAGGTAGGCAGATACCCGGTCCCACGTATGCGCTATCTACGGGCAATTTTTACCCGAGCCCACGGGCTCGGATTTCCCCACATTAAATTCGGCCTTGTGCCACATCCTAACTCGTGGAGAGGCGGGTAAACATCGTAATATGCTGTCTATGTAGTCCACCACTAGCAGTGGTTTAACTACTTCACACCCCTGGCGAATATTGTATTTTGTTGATGTTATAAAGATTACCAGTTCATTTCCAACTTCCGTAGTGACCTGGGTATGATGATAAACTACATCCGCCTCCTGGGTATGACGATAAACTACGCCCAACAGCAAGACCACTGATCATGCATTTTTGAAAAAAAAGTGTTACCAGCTATACGTTTTTGAAAAAAAAAATATTACCAGCTATACGTTTTTGAAAAAATAATATTACCAACTATACATTTTTGAGAAAAAAATATTAACAGAAATGGATTTTTGACAAAACAAAAAATATTACCAGGAAAAAAAAAAAGTTGTCAGCATTAAATGACCCATTGAGGTTGATATGCCGTAAAACAAACCAAACCAAACCAAACTCCGTTTTGGCTATTCCTCATTCAGTAACTCATTCTAGGTTAAAACAGCTTATTTGTCTCTTCATATCTATCTATCTATCTATCTATCTATCTATCTATCTATCTATGTATCTATCTATCTATCTATCTGTAGGATAGGAAACTAGTCAGTAATGACATTCATGGACAATTATCATAATGATCTTTCATTGTAAATTAGTGTAAATCTATGTAAATAACCGAGTCAAATAAATAAATATATAAATAAACGGGTTTTAATTTTCTTCGGCTTAATGCAATATTGAAAGAAGAGAATCGAGAAGATTAAACAATTCTTTAAAAACGAAGCAAGCATCCACATAAAAAAGCCAAGTCTAAGCGCGCAGTTGAATTTTACATATACTTTACTAAAAAGACCTGTGTTAATTTCACGGTTGTCCTATTTTAATTTTCGGATGAATCTTAATTCTTCAGTTAATGATTGAATAAGCTCATGGCGAGTTCTACGACAATAAAATATCCGTAGAAATTCACCTATTGCATCTTTAAATATTTGAGCCGAACAACTTTAACAAAACTAGAAAGACCCGTGATAATTTCACGGTTTTCCTATTTGGATTTTCGGATCAATCTTAATTCTTCAGTTTATGATTGAATAAGCTCATGGCGAGTTCTACGACAATAAAATATCCGTAGAAATTCACCTATTGCATCTTTAAATATTTGAGCCGAACAACTTTAACAAAACTAGAAAGACCCGTGATAATTTCACGGTTTTCCTATTTGGATTTTCGGATGAATCTTAATTCTTCAGTTTATGATTGAATAAGCTCATGGCGAGTTCTACGACAATAAAATATCCGTAGGAATTCACCTATTGCATCTTTAAATATTTGAGCCGAACAACTTTAACAAAACTAGAAAGACCCGTGATAATTTCACGGTTTTCCTATTTGGATTTTCGGATGAATCTTAATTCTTCAGTTAATGATTGAATAAGCTCATGGCGAGTTCTACGAAAATAAAATATCCGTATAAATTCCCTTATCGCATCTTGAAATATTTGAGCTTAACAACTTTAACAAAATTAGAAAGACTCGTGATAATTTCACGGTTTTCCTATTTGGATTTTCGGATGAATCTTAATTCTTCAGTTTATGATTGAATAAGCTCATGGCGAGTTCTACGAAAATAAAATATCCGTATAAATTCCCTTATCGCATCTTGAAATATTTGAGCTTAACAACTTTAACAAAATTAGAAAGACCCGTGATAATTTCACGGTTTTCCTATTTGGATTTTCGGATGAATCTTAATTCTTCAGTTAATAATTGAATAATCTCATGGCGAGTTCTACGAAAATAAAATATCCATAGAAATTCCCTTATCGCATCTTGAAATATTTGAGCTTAACAACTTTAACAAAATTAGAAAGACCCGTGATAATTTCACGGTTTTCCTATTTGGATTTTCGGATGAATCTTAATTCTTCAGTTTATGATTGAATAAGCTCATGGCGAGTTCTACGAAAATAAAATATCCGTATAAATTCCCCTATCGTATCTTTAAATATTTGAGCTTAACAACTTTAACAAAATTAGAAAGACCCGTGAAAATTTCACGGTTTTCCTATTTGGATTTTCGGATGAATCTTAATTCTTCAGTTTATGATTGAATAAGCTCATGGCGAGTTCTACGACAATAAAATATCCGTAGAAATTCACCTATTGCATCTTTAAATATTTGAGCCGAACAACTTTAACAAAACTAGAAAGACTCGTGATAATTTCACGGTTTTCCTATTTGGATTTTCGGATGAATCTTAATTCTTCAGTTAATGATTGAATAAGCTCATGGCGAGTTCTACGAAAATAAAATATCCGTATAAATTACCTTATCGCATCTTGAAATATTTGAGCTTAACAACTTTAACAAAATTAGAAAGACCCGTGATAATTTCACGGTTTTCCTATTTGGATTTTCGGATGAATCTTAATTCTTCAGTTAATGATTGAATAAGCTCATGGCGAGTTCTACGACAATAAAATATCCGTAGAAATTCACCTATTGCATCTTTAAATATTTGAGCTTAACAACTTTAACAAAATTAGTAAGACCCGTGATAATTTCACGGTTTTCCTATTTGGATTTTCGGATGAATCTTAATTCTTCAGTTAATAATTGAATAAGCTCATGGCGAGTTCTACGAAAATAAAATATCCATAGAAATTCCCTTATCGCATCTTGAAATATTTGAGCTTAACAACTTTAACAAAATTAGAAAGACCCGTGATAATTTCACGGTTTTCCTATTTGGATTTTCGGATGAATCTTAATTCTTCAGTTTATGATTGAATAAGCTCATGGCGAGTTCTACGACAATAAAATATCCGTAGAAATTCACCTATTGCATCTTTAAATATTTGAGCCGAACAACTTTAACAAAACTAGAAAGACCCGTGATAATTTCACGGTTTTCCTATTTGGATTTTCGGATGAATCTTAATTCTTCAGTTTATGATTGAATAAGCTCATGGCGAGTTCTACGAAAATAAAATATCCGTATAAATTCCCTTATCGCATCTTGAAATATTTGAGCTTAACAACTTTAACAAAACTAGAAAGACCCGTGATAATTTCACGGTTTTCCTATTTGGATTTTCGGATGAATCTTAATTCTTCAGTTAATAATTGAATAAGCTCATGGCGAGTTCTACGAAAATAAAATATCCATAGAAATTCCCTTATCGCATCTTTAAATATTTGAGCTTAACCACTTTAACAAAATTAGTAAGACCCGTGATAATTTCACGGTTTTCCTATTTGCATTTTCGGATGAATCTTAATTCTTCAGTTTATGATTGAATAAGCTCATGGCGAGTTCTACGAAAATAAAATATCCGTATAAATTCCCCTATCGTATCTTTAAATATTTGAGCTTAACAACTTTAACAAAATTAGAAAGACCCGTGATAATTTCACGGTTTTCCTATTTGGATTTTCGGATGAATCTTAATTCTTCAGTTTATGATTGAATAAGCTCATGGCGAGTTCTACGACAATAAAATATCCGTAGAAATTCACCTATTGCATCTTTAAATATTTGAGCCGAACAACTTTAACAAAATTAGAAAGACTCGTGATAATTTCACGGTTTTCCTATTTGGATTTTCGGATGAATCTTAATTATTCAGTTAATGAGTGAATAAGCTTTTTTTTAGTAATAAAATGTAATAAGAACTTTATGAAGCCATCTGATCACCATCAGTTACTAAAGTCCAATGTGAAAGGACATTTTCAAAGCTAAAAATCATAAAGACAAGGTGTAACGGTCGTGCTAACTAAGAGAGAGCGAATCAAAATTATAATTATATGTAGGTAAAATTACATTGAACAAATAATTATCCTAATGTTCTTTTGTCATAAATTATGATAATTCCATGTAAATTATCGTTTCGTTTAAGTTTAAACCGTCTTTGCCTTACTCTGCTATACATACGAGGGGCGATGTTGGAAGACGTGGCATCTTTTGCTCTCAGACAGATGCTCTGTTATTCTTTTGAACTATCTGTCAATGTATCAATTGTGCAATAAATTATTTCAAAATATCAACCAACTAGCAGTATAGCCCGTCTTTGACCGGGTCTTTCATTACTGGGGATTTTTACCTTCCATTTGGAGTAGTTTAAGTTCAAAGTCAGGCCACCCGAAAATCAATATTAGTAACAACAGTTGGGTGTAACTGAGGTACATCTCCAAATGTGTGGTTAACAATTTGAATAGGGGTGGCTCTGAAAAGGGCCGTTTTTGCGTTCTCAATCTCGTTTCAGCCTCACGGAGAGCAGCAGTTGAAGAGGCGTTTCTCCTCAACCGAAGTCCTTTGATCAGCAGTTTCAGTCTCGCGCGCAGAAGCGTTCAGGTATGCTCGTCTGGAAAGCCGATGGCTACATTGATCTTCGGACTCAGTGGCTCTGATTGAAGCATTTTCAGGCATTCTGAGACAGGTAAACTGAAAACATAATTTCCTTCTTTTATTTTTCTCTTTTCTTAATAATATTTCTGTTTCTCATAGTACAGTAGAACTCCCCAAATCCGAACATAGCATAATCTAGATTTCCTTGATTTAGACTTCCTGGAATTTGGACTCATCTTCAAATCCGAACTTTTGTATTGACACAAATATGAAGAAGCTTTGTTTTCCCCGAATCCGAACAGTACCCTCAATACCAAACATCTCGGATGCTCAGTTTAGAGGAGTTATACTGTATATCCTTATTTTTGTTTTCATTTACAGATTGTAATTGTTTTTGAATATTTCATAAATTTTTAGACCTTTCACAAAATCTCTTAGTTTTTCACAAATTATAATATTTGTTTAGGACATTTTTTTCTCATTAGTATTGGTTGTCAATTATTTTTTGTACAATTATATATTCAATCTACACTTTAAACAAAAACGAATCAATGTTACAAACTACCTTTTGCATCTTAAAATCTAAAACTTAATAAAATTGTTAAACTTGCCACAGCAGGCTCTTCTTCCCCGTATCCGAACAGTACCCCCAATGCCAAACATCGCGGATGTTCAGTTTAGAGTTGTACCGTATATCCTTATTTTTGTCTTACTTTACAGATTGTAATTGTTTTTGAATAAGATATTTCAAAATTTTTTAGACCTTTCATAAAATCTCTTCGTTTTTCAGAAATTGCAATATTTGTTTAGCACAAACTTTTACATTACTACCTTTCGTATCTTAGACTCTAAAACTTAATAAAATTGTTAAGCTTGCCACAGCAGGATCTTCTTTCCCGAATCCGAACAGTACTCTCAATACCGGATATCTCGAATGTTCAGTTTAGAGGAGTTGTATATCACACCCTGTAGTCCCTTGCGTCCTAGTGGCTTTATTACCTTTAAAAGAAAATCCTGTTTCGTTCTTAACAACGACTTGGTTCACCGCCAATATAACCACTTTGAAAATCTTGATAAATAAAGCTGCTTAAAATGTTTTATTAAGTGACTGGTAGAGAGTTTAATATTTTACGGCTGGGAAGATTTTACCAATTTTGAACAAAGATTAAAAATGCTAGTCAAAAGTATGCGAATACAATTAAAAGCGGGCAAACATGGGCAGCACTCGAATTAGTAACATTCAAATAAAGAGAAATTACACAGATGTTTGTTGGTTTCTAAGAATAAAACTGAAAAAGAAAAATCAATGTACTCAGTTGCTCCACTGAGAAGACCAAGAAAAAATATGTGTTAATCGAGGAATTTCTGGGATGGTGAACGTGAAATGCAGTTTGGGATCGGAGGAAGAGAATCATTCGGTCGGCGATATCCCGTCAAAAACGAGGTGGTCAGTTTTGACCGAATTCCATTCAATATAATCGTATCTAAAACGGAACAGACATTTATTTTTAAAAAAATCATTTGGCATATGATGACAAATCGATATTGACAGGCTTGTAGATAGATAGATAGATAGATAGATAGATAGATAGATATGAAGAGACATGGATATATAGTTATGAACATAGATAGATAGATAGATAGATAGATAGATAGATAGATAGATAATGAAGAGAAATGGATATATAGATATGAACAGAGATAGAGAGATTGATAGATAGATATGAAAAATGAATATATAGATATGAACATATATATATATATATATATATATAGAGAGAGAGAGAGAGAGAGAGAGAGAGAGAGAGAGACAGATAAGAAACATGCATATATGGACATGAACAGAGATAGATAGATAGATAGATAGATAGATAGATAGATAGATAGATAGATATGAAGAGATATATATATATATATATATATATATATATATATATGAACATAGATTGACAGATAGATTGATAGATATGAAGAGATAGATATATAAATATTAATAGAGATAGATAGATAGATAGATAGATAGATAGATAGATAGATAGATAGATAGATAGATAATGAACATACTCAGATAGATAGATGTGAACAGTGTGAGGTAATGGATAAAAAGAGAGAAAGAGAAGAAAGAGAAGTGTGTTTATTCCTTTAAAAAATCAATCAGAGGCGATATTGATTTTTTTTTGAGACATAAAATGACCTTGAATGCTACTCTACATATCTGAAATTAAGAAAAAGAAAAAAAGAGAGTCAAAATGTGTCAATAGGTTTCTTTATAATATAACCTTTGTGATGTCATTCGGCTTTTGATTTCTTTTCTTCTCTCTTGAACCGCCCTCCCCACCCTCAACCTTCGCACACAATAAATGAATTTGCCTGGTTAAAAAATCTTCCGGATACAGTTTCTTTGTTTCTTATTGGCTAAAATCGTACAGAATGGTCAATGAGCAAGTGACATTAGACATTAGGCTTCTTTAACCTGTCATTGGAATTTTACAGTTACACACACACGAACGCACACGCACGCACGCGCGCGAACAAACACACACACGCGCGCACATACACACACGTATATATATATATATATTGGGTAAAACTGTTTGTATGAAAATGTATGACAAAATGGAAAAAAGTTTTCTTGTGATGCGTTTCGAGATTGCCTTGATCGCAAGGTCATCTACAGTAAATTTGCAACCTTGCTCTTACAACATTTCACCATTCCTGACAGAACTTCTATTATCACAATGTGCGATATCTAGTAACAAAAGTGAAAGGAAGAAAAAGAATCTAAAAGAAATCGGCTAGATTAAAATAAAAAATTAAATTTAAATCTAAAATTTTCAGCATCCCTCGCGCATGCGTAGTCGAACCAACATAAAAAAAATTTAGTCTTAAAAGCGTTCGGTAGACAAGTAGTTGAAGTTTATAAGCAGTAAATTCGACCTTGTATACCGAACGCTCCTTTGTGGCCGATCGGTAAGGCACATCAGCGAAAAAATGACGGTTCCATATAGGATGCAGGTTCGAATCCTGTCAAAGGACGAATATTTTCTATGAAAATTTCTCGGACATTCAGGCCGGTAAATGTCATTTAATACTGTTTATTATAAACAGAGCATTTACTTAAATACTTGTATCTATAAAAAAAGAACGTTAAACATAAAAATGTCTTTAATAAATAAATTGTCGGACTTTGTCCATTTCTTAATATATATATATATTTCATCAAATTTCATTTTCCAACATACTTAACAGAAAAACGCAAGGATGCTGGATAAAAAATAAAATTATAAAAACATATTTCTAAGATATGCTATATTTATGAGTAAAAGTTTATATATATATATATATATAAGTATAGGATTGGTGTATTCGGAATAAATTCCAATAACCAACAATTACTATTCTTAAAAGAGTGCTCAATACACGTTACTTTTTTCTGTATGTATATATCTAAATACGTCTGCGTGCTTATGTATTATAATCTGATTGTGTATGTATTGTCTTTTGCAAGATGTCATCCTCCCCTGCCTATATTTAGAATTCAAATGTATCTATGTTGTCATGAAGTTCAGAACAACAGTTGATCTTAACGTTTATTCCAACTTAATTTCAATAAAAACAATAGAATAACATATGTATTTTTCCTTTTTTCCTCAGTAATTTTATAATTTTCAACTTAATAGAGATTAAATTTAAATTTTAAAATGGGTAATTTTTAATTTTTTATTTCAAATTTTATCTTATAATTTAATACTTATTAGTTAGAATAAATTCTATTTTAGTCTAAGCCCAACATTAAGGCATTAAATAGTTATTATAACCTTAGTACGTTGTCAAGTTTTTTAAATTCTCATATACTTGTATTTTGATTGGTCATTCCAGCTTATGTAACAGCGTTTCCCCTTGCAATGGGTGGTTAATTTGACCCTTTTAAAACCCTTTATTTTACATTCAACACCATCATTTGATATGTCACCAGAGGTGTTGAAACAAAATGGCTATTTTTGTAGTGATTTTATAACATATTTATGTTATAATTTTCGAATAAATAATTTTTATATATATATATATATATATATATATATATATATATGTATGTATGTATGTATATCGAAAATAACCGAAAAAATACAGGATACAGTATATAAATATTTTAAAATAAAGTAATTAAATAAACCAAGTGTCAATAAAACTAAAAGATTAGCCTTTCTTTTTTCCCTATATAAAATACGACCGAGTGACGCAAGAAATAGTAACACGTGATACAAATATAGTTTTAAAATATCCTATATTTATGGGTAAAAGTGCTAAATTTCAGAGATAGTGTGTATGTCTTCTTTTTTAATCGGTATCATTCCATACAAAGCAGTAAAGCCACTAAGACACAATGGGTTACAGTGTGTGAAAGAATTAAGAAAAGAAACATTAATAATGAACGGGAAGAGGAAAGAGTAATCAGAAGGAGAGTAGATAGCGATTGACATTGCAATTAAAATTTTGCAGATTAAAGTTGGCTGGAAAGCATGGAACTGGAAGGAAGTTCCACAAGCGAAAAGTATGAGAAAAGAAACTGTTAGCATAGAACTTACGGTTGCATCTAGCAAGCTCAACTTGAGATCTTGACGCCAGTCTAGTATTCATGAAGTCTATGTACCATAGCGAAGAGCGATATTTATTCTAATATATACACAGAAATGTGACACAAGGCCAAAATGAGGATTGGGAAAAGGGTGGTCTTCTGTCTTAACGATAATTTAGCTAGCCACAAACACTGATCCAATCATACAAACAATATTCCTTACACCAAAACAACACATTCTTTCGTACTTTTGTTACTACATTCACCATAATACCTCATTGTCTCTATGAAAATACTAACTACTCCCTATATTTACAATTCGTTGTCTGTGGTGAGAGGGGAATAAAATAACAATTTTAAAAACTAACCCCAATGATTATTTACAATATGAAACAAATCTATTTACAAGAAACTAAACAAAATAATGTTAGTAATAAAAAACCCATAATCACTAAATGTGGCAGAAATATCAGTTAACTCACCGAAATCAATGCGGGACTATAATCATATAAAACTTTCATTCATCCCAAGAATTCACACTGACACGCACTCATTCAGACACGACAACAAATACGAAAACACATACGCGAAATGAAAGGTACCCCGCATCGACCAGCGAACTGACATCACTGACCACCAGAGCGAAGAGCTTATCTGAACAATTACCATGAAAGTATTTATAGAAAATACACAGGCAGGCAAACTTATGCCGGTGGAAAAGTAACTGAAGCCGAGAGGCCAGATCAGGACCAATAATATATATATATATGTAAATATAAAAGTTTATATTGAAGTTAACACCAATCGGCGACAGTCTGTTTCATGTTTAAACGCAATCTTCAGACCATTATTATTATTATTATTATTATTATTTCTGTGGAGAATATCTCAAGTGAAACATATACGATCCATTGCTAAAGGTGCCATAAAAATGGTTGGCTCCTTGTACCCCTCCAGAAAGTATCTGTCTCCTCCTGCCATGCCCTATCTTGGTCTGATCTGTCAAGAAACAAATCAGAGCAAACACTGGATATTGCTTATATATTCTAACTGTTGTTGGATTTGTAAAAAGCCCTAGAGCCACTCAAGGTAGAGAGTTACTGCAATGAGGTTGTTGAAAGTAGTTGTAGAGATTCGGGGAAGCAAGGCTTGAACTCAATCTCCAAAATAATGATCTTGGGAAGAATCTTCGCGAATGGAACATTCTCTTACCAATGAAATACGCAGGGAATGGCGATGATTCTAAAGTGTAATCATGACATCGCAGGTTTTAGCGTTAAATATCTGAACAGGTTTTCGGATTTGGGAATTTCGATAAAGTATACTGAATCTGTAGTAAAAAAAAAATCATAAAAATGCAAATAGTGTAACGATTTAATAACGAACAAAATATGTTTTGCAAGCATTATCCTACAGCAGGCATGATGCAACCTTTTCTGGAGATAGTGATTTTCCAAGCGTAGCTTAGATGTGGCACAAGCCCGAGCGCGCGGGGCACCCACTGAGGATCGAACTCACTCAGTCGTAATGCTTCTAGCGAGACAAGCTTGCTAACCATTACGCCGCCTTGAGGTACTCGAACCTTTTCTAAACATTGGGCCACAAGAGATGATCTGAAAGCAAACAACACTACTAGAAGAAAAAAAGGCAAAGAAATCTTTTGTTAAAGTTATGGCAGCCTTTTTAATTACAGAAGACCATACGCGTATAGAACTGCCTTCGATTCTTTATATCTTTTTGGGGGGAGTGGGGAAAGATTTTTCTATCATTAAAAATTGAAGTATTAGTGTAATATTAACACCGACGTCAGTATGAATAAAACACGCCGCCGCGTGTGATTTATATCTAATTTATTCATTTAAAAATATAAAAGATATTTCTTCGCCAGAGAAAAACTATGATGAGCGTTTTCTGTTCCGGAAGCAAAAGATTTTTACACGTATGTTCTTCCTTAGTGGAAATCGCCAATGGTTTAAAATGCTGAAAAAGTTAGCTTCAAGTTTGAAAATTCGTGAAACATTGTACTTAATCATTGTTAATGTCTAAGTTTCAGTAGGTATGAGAGAGTGTGTGAGTGAAGAAGTGAGAACAAAACGAAATAAAACCTTAGTTTCATCATGAAATTAAGAGTGATTTTAGAAATTCAAACGAGCCGCAGATTATCCCTGACTGTGCTGGACACTTAAAGATCAATTTTTTTTTCACACTGTATTTTTTGGATTATTTTTTTTCTTGCTTAGGCGTTGTAGCATTTATATTCAGTCAATTAATTTTCAGAAGGGAATAAAGGTGAGAAAAAAAATAATAAGAGAGTGGAAATGTAAGTTCTGAGGGTTCGAATTGTGCTTCTGGGACACACAGGTGATTGTCAAAGAAAATTAATTGATTGATTCATTAAGTCACTTTCTACGGCTTATCAACTCTTTTCAGGTAATTTAAAGGTAGAAAATATTTCTAGGTTGTAAGAATTTTAGTGGGGAAATATAACAATGGTTTACTGATCAAAGTTAAGGTGATTCATTTATATAGGACGTCACAAAAACCATAAATAGCTACGGCTATTACCCATGGGCAGTTGAGTGCATACTACTTCATGTCACTACAATGACGTCGCCGATATCTAAAGAAACGGACGAACAATTATCATTGGGTAATTATGAATACGCATAAGGGTGGCTTAGGATACTAGCAGTTAAAGCTAGAACAAAAAACTGACAGATTTAAAATCAGTTCGGGGTGGAAACCCGATAACTGATCTCTTCTTTGCAGCTGCTGGTTGTAAGGCTATTATAAAATTATCAGCTACTGCACGCAGACGACAGCTGGAAGAAAAGACGTTTGATGATATAAGCCAAGTAAGAGTAAGAAATATAGCACCCAAGAGAAAAACTAGTGAATGCAGAAAAAGCTAACTTCACGAGCATTTCTCAAAAAGTGAATGAAACTGTTATGGAATATGTTCTTCGTTTGAAACAGGCCGCTAAATATTGTGAATTTGGGAAACTGGGAGCAGAAAACCATTGAAGTGGATTTGATCCAAATGGAATTGGTAAACGGCCTTCAAAATGTGGGTTTATCGCAAATAACTCTAATGAATTTACAACTGGGAAAGTTGTCACTAGAACAGTGTGACAAATTTGTTCAGCAACTAGGATTCGAAAATTTAATACAACAAAAGTTAAAGATCTGGTAGAGGAAATGAATATATACACGACTAGATGATGTACCCGACCTTGCCCGGGTGTATATGACTGCAATTGTATAATTGCACCACCCTGTATACCCGCACACTCTGTCAAGAAATGACTGCTTGCATCCCCGCTTGAATGAATCATCCGTTGGTATACTAAGCTATAACCCCTTCACCTCATCTTTTTTTTCCGATGTGTCATTCACAGTGTTTAAATGTTCTTAATAAAAGAATTCCATCGTTAAAAACTTCTTGGGTGGTCGTTGCTCGGAGTTAAATTGTTTCAATGTTTTAGATATTCAGTAAATTTCCTATGGCTGTAATCACTTTTAAATAGTATGGCATTGTTTAAAAATTTAATAATCAATCAAAGACAGGGATGAAGCGTCAGAGCTTGATTCATCTGCAAGTGCAAACGCTTAAACGCCCCCCCCCCTTCTTCGCACGTTTACTGTAAAGCTGGGGTTAATAAGAGGTTCTTCGGGAATTTTTCCTTTTTAACGATTCAATAATCCTTCACAAACAATCTTTGCATCAAAGTTTGTTCGAATGCCAATTTAGGATCGAATCATATGAAGAAACTATTGGCTAAATGGCAAAAGTCAATTTGGGACCTAGCTTGTCGCAGATTTCGTCCACTTAAGTAATAATAAGAATAATCTAAACCAAACATTCAAGCAAGACAATTTGTGTGCCATATGTAATTTACATGGAAAATTTGGAAAGCATCGGATGAAAAACGAGGGAGTTATGGTCGAAAAACGGTCATTTTGAACAGTTTTTCGTGGTTTTTCGTTATTCGCGTGGAAGGGAGCAGGACTAAAACCACATACTTTTATTTCTTGCGACATGTTTGAAAAAATCGGATAAAAAATGAGGAAGCTACTCAAGTTTGTATTTTAAGTAGTATGAAAAGCCTGAGTTTTTCATTTTGTTCGTGTGTAACTTTGCCTTGGTTTTTGTAAAACGTCGTACCCACCTTCAGTTTTATCAATTTCTCTGTCAAACCCGGAGATCCTGGAGATTGAAAATTTTGTCGTGACCTAATTTCGTAAATTTGCAACAAGTGTTTGCAATTTCATTGAAATCGTTTGAGAAATGTCGATGAGCATAAATAGCATACACACATACAGATACAGACATAGACAGATATCTTTTCTTTTATAGATATAAAGAGAAAAGACACAATAATGTGTACGTTTTTGGTTACAAGCATCAAAAGAAACACAAAAATATGCGGCATATAAAAAGAGAAAAAAGATACATTATTCTAGTGAGGGGGGAAGATACGTTACTAGAGAGAGAGGAAGATATGTTACTAGAGAGAGAAGAAGATACGTTACTAGAGAGAGAGTAAGATATGTTACTAGAGAGAGAGAGGAAGATACGTTACTAGAGAGAGAGGAAGATATGTTACTAGACAGAGAGAGGAGGATATGTTACTAGAGAGAGAGAGAGGAGGAGACGTTACTAGAGAGAGAGAGAGGAAGATATGTTACTAAATACAGAAAAAAGATACGTTACGATAGAGAGGGGAAGATATGTTACGAAAGTTGAAGGAAGATACTTTACTAGAGAGAGGAAGACACGTTACTAGGGAGAGAGGAAGATACGTTACTAGGGAGAGAGGAAGATACGTTACTAGGGAGAGGGGAAGATATGTTTGTAAAGAGAGAGGAAGATACATTACTAGAGAGAGAGGAGGAGGATACGTTACTAGAGAGAAAGACACATTACTTGAGAAAGAATAAGATATGTTACTAGAGAAAGATAGATACGATACTAGAGATAGAGAGAGAGAGATGAAGATACGTTACTAGATAGAGGGGAAGTTAAGTTACTAGAGAGAGAGGAATATATGCTACTAGAAAGAGAGGAATATATGTTACAAGAGAGAGAGAGGAAGATATTTTACTAGAGAGAGATGAAGATACGATACTAGAGAGAGAGAGAGGAAGATATGTTACTAAAGAGAGTTGAAGATATGTTACTAGAAAGAGAGGAAGATATGTTACTAGAGAGAGAGAGAGAGAAGAAGATACATAACTAGAGAGAGAGAGAAAGATACGTTACTAAATAGACAGGAAGATACGTTGCTAAAGATACGTTACTAATTAGAGAAAACATGTAATTAATGAGAGAGGAAAATAAGTTACTAGGGAAAGTGTAAAAAACGTTACTAGAGAAAATCTATAAAGAGGAGAATATATGTAAGAAAAGAATTAAGTTAAGTTACGAGAGAGAGAATAAAATACGTTACTAAATACAGAAAAAAGATACGTTACTATAGAGAGTAGAAGATATATTACGAAAGACGAAGGAAGAATACGTTACTACAGAGAGAGGAAGATACGCTACTAAAGAGATGAAAAGCCACGTTTTGTTAAAGATACAGGAATATTCGTTACTAAATACAGAAGAAAATACTTTACTATAGCTAGCGGAAGATATGTTACGAATGACGAAGGAATATACGTTACTAGACAGAGGAAGATACAAAAGAGATTAGAAGATACCTTAGTAGAGAAAGAATAAGATACGTTACCAAAATAATAATTTACGCTACAAGGGAAATAACTAAGATACGTTACTAAAAGAAGCGAATTATACGTTACTAAAATGCGATTAGGGTACATTATTAAAGGAGAAGACAGATACATGACTAGAGAAAGACAGGAAGATATGTTATTAAAGAAGTAGAATGATACGTTACAAAGAGATGTGAACATATGTTACGAAAGCAGAAAAATATACGTTACTAGAGAAATAGGGGAAGATACGTTACTAAAGGAGAAGTAATATAAGTTACTAAAGAGATAAGAAAAGAGTTACTAAAGAGAGTACTAGATTCATAACTGAAGACAGAATATAATACGTTACTCGAGAAAGATTAAGATACTTTACTAAACAGAGAAAAAGCTACGTTACTAACGACAGAGAAAGATATGTTACTAAAGAGAGAAGACGATAAGTTATTAAAAGGAGGGGAAGATACGTTACTAAAGAGGTAAAGGTGTGTTACTAAAGGAAGCGGAAGGTACGTTACTACAGGTAGAGAATGATACGTTACAAAAGAGAAAAGAACCTGCATTACTAGAGAAAAAATATGTTACAACTGAGAAAAGATGATACGTTACTAGAGAAAAAAGTAAGAAACGTTACCAAAGGAGAAGAAAGATACGTTACTAGAGAGAGCTAGACATGTTACTAAGGCGATAAAAGATACGTTACGAGGGAGGGCAGGTGGTTACTTACGAACGAATGAAGCCTTATGTTACAAACTGTAACTATACCTGTTAGTGTTCCCTGATAATTTGGATAATTTTGTTTCAGGCATTTTCTACTTTCTGGCTGTGATAGTTAATGTATGATTTTCTTTTTCTGATGTTGATGATGATATAACGTCGAAATATTAACTCCGATCTGTTACTGAAATTTTGACCAATTCCTGTGTTCGTTCAGATATTTTCACATCGAAAAAGAGTGCTATATAGTTCTCACAGTCCAAAATCTGATCAAATGAATAAATTTCTTAAATGGCTTCTTGACTGTAGCGATTTATTTTTCAGAAACCGCTTGTTCTGCCACATGTGCATTTTATAATCAGTCGTGATTTTCAGCAAGATAATAATTAAAAAAA